TCCATTGTAATGATCTATCCCTGGCTTTAATACATAGTGCAGCAATGCAAAATTTGCTGTAACCAGTACTGAGGATTTGTCAGTCCTCAATCTCTGTGTTTTATTCTCATAGTTAAGCATCTGCAATAATAATAATTATTGAAATTAATAGCATTTCTATTGGACTTTCCATCTGAGGATGTCTCAGGGTTTTCACAGCGATGCAGAAATAAGCCCTACAATTTGCCCTTGAGAAGCAGATGGCTTTTTGCTATTATGGAGATGAGGAACTGAAGCACAGTTCAGAAGTGTGGCTTATGGTGCCAAGCTTGTTTTCAAAAGTTACTTTTTTGGGTGCTAGAATTCCATCAATGTTCAACAGCTTAAAGCATTTTCAGTGCTTTGACCATCTTTTAACTTGTGTATCATGGAGGGACTCAGAGAAAACCAGAAGTCTGAGCTTAAACAGCAATTCTTCCTTCAACAATCAATTTCAGGGTTTTGTGTTTGTTAATTTAAGTATTTCTCTTGTGTACTAGCTCTGTGCTAGAGGAATAAACCTGTTAGAATAAGATCACGTTCTAAATCTGACCTCTTTGGTTTACTGTCCCGTATGGAGATGCCTTCTGGGCTCAGGAGGGGAGTCTTAAAGATGTTTCTTTGGCCAGACCCTGGATTTTTCTGATGCCTGGGGCTGGTTGTGCAGGCTCTCCTGAGCCCCGTGGTGCTCAATCTGTGCTGGTGGCACTGGAAGGAACTGGCCTGCTGCACTGCACAGGCCACACTGCAGCGTGCCCGTGCTGTGGAGGGATGCACAGAGGCCGTGTGGAAGAGCCACCTGAGCTCCCCACACGTAGGGGAGACAGACTGGGGAGATTTTTCAGTGGAGGGGGACCCAATGATGCTCTGTTGATGAACAAGAGCTTTAGGGAAGGACGAACTTCAGGTCCACAGCAGCAAATGTGGTCTCTGTGCATCTTTTTTTTTTTTTTTCTTAAAAGGAAAAGGAACCAGCTGGGGGTAGCCTGGGTTTGTGCTCTTCCTGCCCAGGAATGTGGCCCCCAGGGCTGGGTGACTGGGGAGCTGAGCAAGAAAGCGAAGCTCTGCTCAAAGTTCAGCAGGAGTGAACTGTTTCCAGCTACCTGTGGGCAGGGAGATGGGAAGGTGTTTGCAGGGACTGTGAAATTGTGTCTGGTTGATTATATTTCTATTAGCAAAATAACTCTGGAATAATAAATATATCAATGTCAGCAGTGTATGCTGAGATGGCAGTGCTGCTTACTCATGGCAATCTGTGATGAGCCATTTGTCTCCCTTCTAAGAGAGATCACGTCTTTTTAAAGCTTCATTTTATTGTTTTAGTTTCATGAATATGTCTCTGAACTTGCCTTGTGTTATCTGGAAGATAAATAGAGAATGAAGTATGATTTATACTACATTTTGGCCAAATTGTTCTTCTTTGAAGGAAAAATACATTTATTGAATGCATTGAGGCTGGAATTAGCTCCTCACTGATGATGATAAATGCTTGCAGTCCTGTAAACGTGCTGAACATTAAGTTGCTAAATTACTGTACCACTTTGAGATTGATTATCAAGAATGGCCCTTTAAGCTTCATGACCTGCACATATATCCTGAGGACTACTGGCATCCTGAAGCTTCCTTAATGCTCTTTTTTTCCTAATTAAACTTTTTATTGAATTTTCTTACCCTTTTAATACTTGTTTTGATTCTCTTATGCGCAAATGACAAAAGCCTTGCACCAGCCATGTGATTCTCTATTTTAGAACAGTCCCACTTTGCAGGATTAGCCATTTTAATGACTTTAATCTCCTTTTTGAAAGTGATTTTTCTCATTCTGCTACATTCCTTTGATTGCATTAATGTAGAATTATTATTCTAACCATCTTTGCCAGACATGTCATACCACATCTAAAATATATCTTCCCACTAAAATATTACTGTGGTAAAATACCTTAGAATTTTCTCCTCAGTTCATTATAGGTCTTTTCTTCAATTTAATATGGCAAGTTAAAATTAACAGGGCTATTATTCATTCATTCCATAAAGAGATTAATGATAATGAGTTTTCCCTAATTTCTTCAGTTTAGGTGTTCAGTAATTTAGTATCTTGTTAATAAGAAATCCAGGTGGGTTGTTTCTGGTGCTTAAAGTTTCTTCTAAAATTCTTTTTAAACTGTAAAAGTATGATAAAATGCTGGAATAAAAAGAATCAATAAATTAAACGTGACAATTGGTAAAAGGTCCAACTGAAGCTAACAAAAGGAGATAATCGTTACATTCTATGTAAACACTTCCATTTTATGACAAATCCAGCTTTCCAACCTGAGAAATGTTATTATTTTTAATCCAAATTATATTAGCAAAGGCTTTGTGCTTCACTCACAAAGTAATACTAATACCAGCTTTCTTTGATTTTGTTTTCTGAATAGCCCAATATGTTTGAGGAGCAGCAGCTGGACGGGAACTGGCTCTGTTTGAATGTTAGACTGTGTTTTGAGGTAGATCTGTTCATTTCAGAGGAAAAAGAGACTTTCTAGAGATTTGTTCAGTTTGCGTGGTGGGCCAATGTAATGGTTGGCATACGTGCATATGGATGTAAATAAGTTAAAGCAGTTGGCCCAGCCTGTGTTACCACTGGATTTGGCCCATGGCATCTCAGGTTTCCGAGCCGAACAATGGAGCTTTATTCGGTGGAGGCGTTTGGAGAGCTCGGGCTTCTCTCGGCGCAGCCCTTGCTGTGTGCGCCGCCGCTCCGCACACGGCAGCCTGGCTGCGAGAGGGGGGATATTGCAAATGCATGTGTTTTTTCAAACATTTCTGCAAACGGACATATAAAATTATTACAATTACAGCCAGGAAGGCCGAGCAGTAACTAGCAAATGGTGGGGTGCTATTTCTCTTGTTGTTTTTCTCCGCTCTCCCCCTCTCCGTAGACAGCAGCAGCGGCACAAACGCAACATGTGCTGCCCTAGTTCAGGCCCAGCATCCCCCTCGTGCTCCCCTTTGTCTCCTTGCCCCTGGAGGAGCCCAGCTGGTGAGAGGAGGGAATTAGGCAGCCCTGAGCTACCGGCACCTCCCCGGGGCCCCTAATCCGGGCGCTGGCAGCCGGCTGCCTCTTCCCTCCGACGGCCCGTGGCCACAGGTCCGTGGGGACGGAGCCCCGGATACGGCTGGCGGCAGAGCTGGGGATGGCGGGGGCTGGGGGCTCCCCGGGGGCTCCGCAAAGCTGTGCTGGCAGCGGGGTGGGCGGTGGAGGTGGCTTAAATTGGGAACATGAGGCTTTGTTGCAGCTGCAGAGAGAGAGAGAGCCGTTCGTGGTCGGGGGAGTGAAGCCTGAGAAAAGTTTACATAAAAATCAGGAGCTCGTTGTCTGTGCTTTAGGCTTGGGCTCCGCCAGATTTGGAGGAGCTAGTTGAGCGCAAAGACCTTGAGCATCTTAGAAGCGTGGATGCTCGCTCAGAGTCGAGGTGCATTTCGGGAGCAGGAAGAAGCAGGTTCTCAGTGTCCAGCATCGCTCTGGAGCAGGAGGTTTAGTGAAATGGGGGAGCAGAGCTCTCGGGAGTAAGGGGTGCGAGAGCAGATGCCTGACCTGGAAAATAGACATCCCCATCGTGTGGGCAAAGTTGTTTGGGGTGTGCGTATTTGGTTTAGTTTTTTCCAAGGTCGCTGCTCTCTTTCTTTACCTGGGATGAAAAAGCAGGTGCTTGCCAGAGTGGACGGTGCTGCAGGAGCTGCCTGGTATGGTGGTGATACCCTCATTAGCCGAGCACTTTTTGAGAGCTCCTCGCCGTACTTGTGCCTTCTCCGCCTGGAGACTGTAGTTGGCAGGCACGAGGAGTGTGCGTGTGGCAACCTACATACACAGTTGGGGATTTTTTTATTGGTTTGTTTTAGTAAAAACTGAAGTAGGAACATTAAATGTTTTATAAGGATGGTGTATCTTGAGAACCGGCTCCTTTTTGGAATCTCCAAATGTTTGCGTGGTCAGTGTTTTCCATCATTTACGTGAACTTTATTTTTGCTTCATTCTGTGGTTTAGTTTGATATCAGACTAGTGGCATTTATGTTTCACTCAACATCTCTGCATTTGTTGGAATTAGGATACTTGAACTCACTCTCTTCTGTTTCTTGTTAACAATTCTGTTAATGAAAGTGACAACATTTTATGTATTTTTCCTAAAATGACTGTGGGGCTACTGGAGTTGGTGCTGTGTTTCTTTATGATAATATGCGATTATAAAATATTTTCAAAGCTTCATATTAAGTAAAGGAAATAGTTATTAAAACAGAGGCTGGATGATTTTTAGTTTATCCTGCACTTGATTCTTTTGTGATGTCTAGAGATCTCCAGTGGTGATTTTCCTGGGCTTGAAAAAAATTTGTTTGATTTTGTACCAAGAGAGCAACATTACCTTTTATACAAGCAAACATGGTAATGGTGCAGATCTCTTCCCTGATTTTCTTGAGCTCTCTCAAATCTGATGCTTTTATTCCACCTAGATGTTCAACTCTGCCTTTGAGCAGCCTTTCATTCTGTTACAGTTTTGAGACAGAACTGAAGGATTTTTTTAATGGAGACATTACTTAAAATCATCTTGATGTAGCATTTAACAGACCCACAAATTCACAGGTGATCACTTAACACTGTAGCTTTCTGAAGTGTTTGTATTGCTTCATTGCACATTGTGTTTCGCTTTCTTTATTCATTGTTTATTGCTTTACAGTACAGTGAGCAGGTGTTAAACCTGCTAAAGAAAAACGCTTTTTATTAACACTATGTGTTGGCATATTTGTGAATTATGTGCACAAATATATTTTTATTTCTCTTTCTCAAACCTCCTTTCAAATTCAAGAAGGTTTATTGGGGTTTTTTTTTTAGTTGATTTTTTTTTTAGTGCTGTAGTAGCAGAAGCCCATAGTGTTGTTGAGAGCTTTGTCCTTATTTCACAGATGCACTGGGAATTGTTTTTAATCTCCTTTCTGCTTTCCCATTACAGATGGTGATGACGACCCACAACTCTCCTGGGTGGCTTCATCTCCCTCCAGCAAAGATGTTGCATCACCCACTCAGATGATAGGAGATGGGTGTGATCTTGGCATCGGGGAGGAGGAAGGGGGGACTGGCCTGCCGTATCCCTGTCAGTTTTGTGATAAGTCCTTCATTCGCCTGAGCTACCTTAAAAGGCACGAGCAGATCCACAGTGACAAACTACCTTTCAAATGCACCTACTGTAGCCGGCTTTTTAAGCACAAGAGGAGTAGGGATCGCCACATAAAGCTTCACACAGGGGATAAAAAGTATCATTGCCACGAATGCGAGGCTGCATTCTCCCGCAGCGACCACCTCAAAATCCACCTGAAAACTCACAGCTCCAGCAAACCATTCAAGTGTACTGTGTGTAAACGTGGGTTTTCATCTACCAGCTCATTGCAGAGTCACATGCAAGCTCATAAAAAGAACAAGGAACATATGGCAAAGACTGAGAAAGAGGTGAAGAAGGATGATTTTATGTGTGATTACTGTGAAGAGACATTCAGTCAGACTGAAGATTTGGAGAAGCACGTAATGACACGCCACCCACAGCTTTCCGAGAAGGCAGATTTGCAGTGTATTCATTGCCCTGAAGTATTTGTAGACGAAAACTCGCTGCTCTCACACATTCATCAAGCCCATGCCAACAAGAAACACAAGTGCCCTATGTGCCCAGAGCAGTTTTCTTCAGTGGAGGAAGTCTATTGCCACTTGGACAGCCATAGACAACCTGACTCCAGCAACCACAGCATCAGCCCTGACCCAGTCCTGGGGAGTGTGGCGTCCATGAGCAGCGCAACGCCGGACTCCAGCGCGTCGGTGGAAAGAGGTTCCACTCCAGATTCGACCTTAAAGCCTTTGAGAGGACAAAAGAAAACCAGGTCTGTTGACAGAGAGGATGGCCAGAACTGGTCTAAAGTTACTTACAGCTGCCCCTACTGCTCGAAACGTGATTTCAACAGCCTTGCTGTTCTAGAGATCCATCTGAAGACCATTCATGCAGACAAACCTCAGCAAAGCCACACGTGCCAGATCTGCCTTGATTCCATGCCTACACTGTACAACTTGAATGAACATGTGAGAAAAGTGCACAAAAACCATGCCTATCCCATGATGCAGTTTAGCAACATTTCTGCCTTTCATTGCAATTACTGCCCGGAGATGTTTGCAGATATCAATAGCTTGCAGGAACACATCCGCATTACTCACTGCGGCCCAAACGCTACCCCTCAAGATGGCAACAATGCTTTCTTCTGTAACCAGTGCTCCATGGGCTTTCTGACCGAAGCTACCTTGACTGAGCACATCCAGCAGACTCACTGCAATGTAGGAAATTCAAAATTGGATTCCCCTGTCATTCAGCCAACACAGTCTTTTATGGAAGTTTATTCATGCCCTTATTGCACAAACTCCCCCATTTTTGGCTCCATCCTGAAGCTTACAAAGCATATTAAAGAAAACCACAAGAACATTCCTCTGGCACACAATAAGAAGTCAAAAGCAGAGCAGAGTCCAGTTTCTTCTGATGTTGAAGTCTCTTCCCCTAAAAGGCAGCGGCTTTCTGCAAGCGTAAATTCCGTGTCTAATGGCGAATACCCATGTAATCAGTGTGATCTAAAGTTCTCAAATTTTGAAAGTTTTCAGACCCATTTAAAGTTGCATTTGGAGTTGCTGTTGAGGAAACAGTCTTGCCCTCAGTGTAAAGAAGACTTTGATTCCCAGGAGTCTCTTCTGCAACATCTCACCATACACTACATGACAACTTCTACTCATTATGTATGTGAGAGCTGTGACAAACAGTTTTCTTCAGTGGATGATTTGCAGAAGCATTTGTTGGACATGCATACTTTTGTGTTGTATCACTGCACACTTTGCCAAGAAGTTTTTGATTCCAAGGTATCTATCCAAGTGCATCTGGCAGTCAAGCATAGCAATGAAAAGAAGATGTATCGTTGCACAGCCTGTAACTGGGATTTTAGGAAGGAGGTGGATCTCCAGATCCATGTGAAGCATAGTCACTTGGGTAATCCATCAAAATCTCACAAATGTATCTTCTGTGGTGAGACCTTCAGCACAGAGGTAGAACTGCAGTGCCACATCACAACCCACAGCAAAAAATACAACTGCAAGTTTTGTAGCAAAGCTTTTCATGCCATCATCTTGCTTGAAAAGCACTTGCGGGAAAAACATTGTGTTTTTGATGCTAGCACTGAGAATGGTACAGCTAATGGCATGACCCCAACAAATAAGAAGACAGAGGGGGCAGATATCCAGAACATGTTAATGAAGAATCCAGATACTTCCAACAGTCATGAAGCCAGTGAGGATGATGTGGATGCTTCTGAGCCCATGTATGGCTGTGACATTTGTGGGGCTGCCTACACTATGGAGGTCCTCTTGCAGAATCATCGTTTGAGAGATCATAACATCAGGCCTGGGGAGGATGACTGCTCTAGGAAGAAAGCAGAATTCATCAAAGGTAGCCACAAGTGTAATATCTGCTCAAGGACCTTTTTCTCAGAAAATGGCCTGAGGGAGCACATGCAGACCCATCGAGGCCCAGCTAAGCACTACATGTGCCCCATCTGCGGGGAACGCTTCCCATCGCTCCTGACCCTGACGGAGCACAAAGTCACTCACAGCAAGAGTTTGGATACAGGGACGTGTCGGATCTGCAAAATGCCACTGCAGAGCGAGGAGGAATTCATCGAGCACTGCCAGATGCATCCAGATCTCAGAAACTCCCTCACTGGGTTTCGCTGTGTTGTCTGCATGCAGACGGTCACCTCTACCCTGGAGCTGAAAATTCATGGGACGTTCCATATGCAGAAGTTGGCAGGAAACTCTGCAACCTCATCGCCTAATGGCCAGGCCTTGCAAAAACTCTACAAGTGTGCGCTGTGCTTGAAGGAGTTCCGGAATAAGCAGGACTTGGTAAAGTTGGATGTGAACGGCCTTCCCTATGGCCTGTGTGCTGGATGCATGACCAGGAGCACCAACGGACAGTCTTCGAGCTTGACTCCACAGGAGGTGAATGAGAGGCCATGTGGCAGCCTGAGGTGTCCAGAGTGTAGTGTCAAATTTGAAAGTGCTGAAGACCTAGAGAGCCACATTCAGGTAGACCACCGAGACCTGACACCCGAGACCAGTGGCCAAAGGAAAGGTACCCAGACGTCCCCTGTTCCCAGAGTAAGTACAGCTGAACTTTAAAGTATCTGAGGGATAAAATGTAGACCTTCAATGTGAGAACTGATCTGATTTTTTTTTTAATTTGTCACTTTATCAAATCACTTGTGCTACTAAAAAAACCCCTCAGCAATACAGGAGAAAGGGTAGAGTAATTCATATAGAACAATCAGAAGTTGCTCAGCCTCTCAGGCATCTTGATTCCTAGTAGCAGTGCATCAGATTTTTTGTCTCAGAACTGCCTTAGATTTACCAACAGAGAGTTGAGACTCTTGGACAGTGGGCATTGAGTTTGTCCATGAATTCTGATTCTACTGAACTGGCAGATCTGGAAAAGCTGGGGTAGTTTAATGAAAAATGGAGATGCTGAGTACCCAAAACAATAAAAAAATCTGTCATATTTGAGGGATGAGATTATTTCTTACCAGGAAAATAATAATGAACAGGAGGATATAGGAACTTGTGAGGGAAAGTGTAGTGAACCATCCTACCCCCCAAATTCTCACCTAAACCAAACTTTTGTGCTAAAGAGCTTGTCCCTAGGAATGTCTGCCAGAGTGAAAGTTTTGAGGTTACTTGGATGTCTGTGTGCATTTGTGTGAGCTTGTTTGTGCGTGCATATGATTTTAAAAGTGACTTTAAAAGAACCTGCTTCATGGCCCTTGCGTAGGGTCCAATCAGGGGATAAGTAGTTTCTTAGCAAATCTGGACATTGTCTAATGTAGATTACATAAAAGTGTGCTGTCCTTGACTTTTTGCAGAGAGCCTGCTTTCCCATTTCTTAGCTTACAAGTTACTTGGGAACATGCAGATCCATGTAAGGTTCCAGAAGCCTACTCAGGAGATTAATATCATTTGCACTTTATAGTCTTTTTAAATTATTTGTTGACGTTTTGGTTCAAGAATGGGCCAAGTCAGTCCTTCCTCTGTCAGGAACAGATGGAATGAGAAGTGGATTTTGGAAATCTTCTCAGGAGACCAACAGCAGACACATCTGAGTATTGATATCATCTGACATTTTTAATTAAACATGATGGGGTGAGATTTTCAAAAGTATCTAAGGAAATTAGGCACCCAACTCCTAATGAATAATTCCAGCTGTAGATGCCTGTTTATGTCAATCTGCTAATTAAAGCACCCACAAACACATCTTACTGAATTAAAAGCACCTGAAAATACCATCCATTCAACTAGAACACCAGAGGCTTGGTAAGTAAGAGAGAGGGCCCTAGTATATCCTGAGGATGTGGGCTGAGGTGTCTCCAAGGGAGCTGGTGTAGGTTGTGTCCCTGGCAGGAATTTTTATCCCTGCTCCATGTGGGGCTGTGTGGGGCAGCAGTGTCTGACTGAGCTGGGCTGGGCATGGCCATGCTGGAGCAGAGCCCCAATCCAGCCTCCTGAGCCAATCCCACAGAAAGCTTGATTTCTTTTCTTGTCTTCTCTCTCTTGGTAAAACCACTGGATATTGTTCCCTTTGGGTGTGACTAAGCCTCCAGGCACACAAAAATAATTTTGCAGAAGATTGAGGAATGGAAATATCCCACCTTTGGTGTGATACCTAGGTTGGCCTAGGTCATTGTTCTTCTTCCTCCTCAGGACTTTATTTTCTTCTAAATTCTTGAAAAATACCTCTGTTCTATTAGATAGGACTAATTTGTATTTCTGCACCTATGGAATTACCTTTCCCTTCCTATCAGCTAGCAGAACACATTGCCATTTTCTGTCTTATTTCTTGCTTTAACTCTTTCTTTTCTGTGACCGCTTCCATACTTGTTCTCTCAGGAGAAAATGTTAAGTTCTTCAGTAAGGTAAATGCTTTGAATTTCATTGTAGAAGATAATAAAAAATCTGCATTTGTGATGATGGCAAATGGTACCTTACTGGTGTCTGTGGCCTATATGCTAATACCAGAGATAAGCATCCCAGGAATATATATATATTGTTATTAGGAATAATTCATTATCTTACCATTCATTATAAGTACAAGACCTGAATCTGATATGAGTTCACTAGAAAACTCTTGGTGTTTCACTCAGGGTTCTGAAGGCAATGAGTGCCCTTTGTATTTGCCTAGTAGAGGGATTTTCACAGAATTATATTGGCTTTTAAATGGTGATACATCTCTGCATTCAAGAACAGTGTTTGCTTAACTTCATTGGCTTCATAGAAAACCTAAGCAAGTTGAACATGAACTCTCTTGTCATCTTGTTAGTGTGCTGCACACAGGTAAAATACCACTTTAATGGAGCAATCTTTAGTGCACAGTGCATGTAGAATGATCTACACGTGTTCAGAGAACAGCTACTTCTCTCCAACTCTTGAATATTTCTATATTTCATTTTTTAAACAACTCGTTTATTTTTCTTTCTTAAATAGAAAGGGAGTTGAAGATTAGGACAAGGTACAGTCAGAAGTATCATACAGGTAGATTAGATTTTTAAGTAGTGGGTATATATTTCAGAGTAAATAAGAATAAACAGAATGAAATCCAACAAATGGAAAAGATGATAATAACATATAACATCTGTAACTTCTTTCTATGTCAGAAGTTGCTCCACCACCCATTATTTACTTTTTGATAGAAGAGGTGAGTGCAGAAACCTAAAGGAATTTCAGGAAAAAAGCGCCAAACTTAAATGAATATTTAACCCCAAAGTGAAAGAAAGGGAGAAAGAAATATTAGCCCTTGATGAATAAAGAGTATCTGGGATGAAAAACAGAACAGGAGAAACGGAACAATTCCTTTTTACTGGAGGTATTTAAGTTTGTGTATATATGCAAGTGTGTATAGCACCAAAAATGAAGTATGACTATTTTGTTATATTTTGTTTTGGTTTTTTACTATTAAATTATTTGAGGTTTGATTGTGAAGATCAATAGGAGACAGCTAGAGGAGCATTGAAAAATACTCAGAAGTGCTTGGCAGGCTTGCTTTTTGAATTCATGAGAATGAAAGAAAGCACATAACCCTTGAAAATCCTGCTGTATTTGGCCTTCCTCAGATTTTTAGTATCACAAGCAGGAAGAAAATCTGTAAATTGATCATGCTTGTTTCTAGAATGCCTGCCTAGGATCCCTTCATGTTGATCCACAAGACAGATTTCCTGGCAAGCATAGTTTTTGCAGTGTGTATATGGCAGCATCCTCTTTGGAGGATTTGTTTTTAGAAGTTTTAAAACAAGTCAATGGTCTTCTGCAAGAGACATCACTAAGAGGAATAAATAAAATACATCTTAGTAGTAAAAGATTCCTCTAACATCCATTTTTGTTTCATTCATATAGTTTTGTGTGAGCTATTCTGTTTGGATAGGACTGAAAGTTTTTTTTTCATATGAGCATCACAGATAATGGTATTATTCCAGTATTTGACACAAGTATAGTTCAAGGCCTTTTTTGTATTACATTAAGATCTCATCATAGATGACACTTCCCTGTTTTTTTGAATATCTTTCTGTGCTTATCAGCTTCAATTCTGAATACATTTTATTGATTCATTTCCACATGCCTTCTAGAGGAATGTGCATATCTTAAGAAACATGACTAATTTTTTAGTATTGAGATTTTTCATTTCCTGATACTGCAAACAGTCACATTTCAAGTCACTTTCTCTTACACAGATTTATCTTTGTTTTGTAACACAGGTATCATGAAAAATACTTGTTTAGCATTGACAGTGACAAATGTTTAGACTTCCACTTTCATCTTGAATGGTGTTACTATTTTCAGCCCACCTAGGTTATTTGGAGTGAAGAAGCAAAGGAGGTAGCATAGAAAGTTGAAAGAATAAACCCTATTGTGTTCATTTATTCAGTTTCTTTTCTCCTGCACACTTTCTTGGACTCAGTTCCTTCTCTTTGTTCTCCCCTACAACCCTTCTCTTCCCTTGTAAATCCACTTGAATGGAGGAATATTTTCTTTGTGGAACAGGAAACTATTTCCAGATTTAAAGGAGGATAGTCTGGAAAACCCATGGGAACAATAGATACTTCAGAAAAGAAAACAGAACCCTCTGTTGTTATTACTACAATTCTGTGCCAAGACTAGAATTAAATATCTTGCATTTGTGGGGAATGAGCTCTCAGCTGAAGGCCTGCTCATCTGGTCTCTCTTATCACCCAGATGCCATCACCTAGACTGTGTTAACTCCTCAGAGTGTGGCCACCTTCGCTGTTACCACTTGTGAAGATAAAACTTTACAAAAGATAATTGATCCATTAATAATGCTCATAAACCAGAAAAATAATAGTAGAAGATCATATTTGGTACCACAACTAATTATAGTTGTATTAAAACTAGTGCTCCCCATTTACTGATAACAGAAGGATGTTTTGGGACATTCTTTCAAAGGCAGTTATTAATGGGCCAAAAAATCAGCTCTTCCACCCCTTGCATATACACTTGGGTGCTAATCTAGCTATAGTTATTTTGAGACCTGTATAGGCCATTTTTTAACCTCACTCCATGTCAAGTGGGGTCCCCTGTCACAGGAGCCATGACCTTGCTTAAGCTGCTTGTCTGCATGCACGGGTCTCCACTGAGGCTAAAGGTAGCACAGAGAGGAAGTCTGAAATCTGCCAAGGGCTCCTCATGCCAAGCAGAGTGTTTTATAACATTGTGAAATGGTGGAGGAGTTAGCACTGGCTCTGTGGGTAAACAAAGACATCCTGTCTCCAGATCTGTTAGTAAGTAGCTTTCAGAAGCACCAAAATCAATTAAAAGTGAATCATTTGTCTGTGTTAAATATAACTTTGAAGGTTTGAAATAGAGTCAGGCTGAAATACTGTCCTCTAGCTGGTTACTGAGGGAGACCTCGTAGCTGAGATCAGCATTGGACAAGGCACAGAACTTAGCTTTGAAGTTTTAAGGAAGAGGAAGGCTTCAAGTTTTAAAGGTGACTGTGTGACCACATAAATCAGTCACTACCCAATCCTGTTTTGCTCTTTCAAGGCTTTTTTGTGTTTGTTTTATTTTGAAGTTAGGAGCCCTCAGCATGTGTGTGCCAGTGTGTTTGAGAGGACATGTGTACGTACGTGTGCTGCGCTCGTCTGCCAGAACAGATTCCCCAGAAAGAGTGCTGCAGAAATCCAGCTGTTTTTCCATTAACAGCCTTGATTTCCAAATGGACTCCAGGAGGATACTTTCTTGAGCTGCCTAGGGATAACTAGCCAATCCAAACTATTTCCTTTTCCATGGTTGGCTGTGTCAGCTTTCGGCCAATGGAGTATGGCCTTCTTCCCATTATCATGTTAATCACCCATTGCTGTTTTAGCCCTGCCTAAGCAAAGGCACACTGGTACAGAGTTCATGGAATATGCCTAACTTCCATGGTGCATTTGTTATTATGGTGTTACAGCCTGTTCATTAGCTTCCAGCAGGCTACCTTGTTGCCATTGATGACATGGGAAGTAGTTAAGCTCTTGGTAGCACCTAATTTGTTCTTTCCTCAGCAGGTGCTTGAGGAAATTGGATCCCATGCACAGAGGAGGTGACAGCAACTCCTCTGTTTAACTCAAAACTTTTGACTTATTACTGCTGTCCTAAAAATGGGGTTCTGTACCTGGGTGTGAGGTGGAGGCTGAAGAAAAAGTAATGTGCATCTAAACGTACACAAAAAGTACCCTCAAAAACATTTTCCTTCAAAAGGTTAAGAGGGTGTAATTTACTGAATTGCGCTTCTCTGTGTTGTTGGTTTGGGGTTCTCATCCACCGCTTGTGGCCAGCACACAGAGATTTCTTGTGTGTTCTGCTGCCACCACCTTTGGCTGTTAGATGCAGACCTCATACTTGTGCCTAGTGGCAATTGTCGCAGTAGGAATTATTCTCCAGAAATAAATAGGCACAAAAGGTCCAATTTTTCTAAATTACACATCAAAAAATTTCTATTTAGATAGCATATTCATATGCAGTAAATAAGCATGTACATCAAACTAAAGCACCCTACATACTTCTGCTTTGGGAAATAGGAGTTTTTGCAAATGTACAAAAGCTTAGCCTTCATGATTTTTTGTTCTTTTTTTGTTGGGTTTTTTTTTCCCCTGAGTTGGATGTCCAACTTGTTGACATGCATTTTAATGTCTGCAAATGGTTTCTTGGATTTTTTCCTGCCACGTTGCACAAGTACACGCATCACTGTAAATCTGAGTGCAAACCCCATTTTCAGTTTGAATAAATGGCTCGTGTAATTGCCTCTTCACACTGTCTCCTGACTTCTGCAGCTAGGCCTCCCTGGTATGACTTTGAGATGGAGAAAATATAAACAGATTGTACCAGGAAACAGTTCTTTGTGGTAATGCAATTTTTTCAAGATTTCTGATTAGAGACCAATACAAAATGCATTATTTCCTTCACTTTACCAAGTAACTGTAGGTGCTCTGCCTGCTCTGTGTTGAGTTTAATGAAAGGTGGAATTTTTTGAGAAAGGTGATCTTACTCTGAAAACAGTTACTTTTCTGTCTTTTGTTTCACTTTGGGGGAATTTTACTGCAATGGGTTAAACGACAGGTGCAAACTCCTTGTCGCTCAGGTACTCAGTCAAGTAGTGTAATTTGAAATTTTTAAAGTTGAAATTAAAATTTCTCTTAAAGCTGGTTGTTAATTAGAGATTGTGTTTATGGTCCCAGAAAAGCCTGGCCTGGGGATATATGGGCAAAAAAATGCCTCAGTGGAGGAAATTTGAAGCATATAACATGCTGTATTCATGATCACACTTGCCTTATGCTACAGTGCAGTTTTCTCTAATCTCTTTTTGGTTATTAAACAGAAAAAGACCTATCAATGCATCAAGTGCCAGATGACCTTTGAGAATGAGAGAGAGATACAAATCCATGTCGCTAACCATATGATTGGTAAGACATTCTTTACACTGGGCCACTCATTGGCTGCTTGTTTTTTGCTACTCTTTGACATTCACTATTCTAATAACTTGTTCATATTCATGCTGTAATTTATTTTTTTATTTTTCAAGGAAAATGATTTTGATGTAATGATTCTTCACCTCAAAGCTTTTTAAATATGTGGTTATAAGTGTTACCGCTGAGCTTTTTCCTTATCCTTCTGAGTCCTCATGTAACATTTTCATTTATATTAAAATCAAACTTTTGACAGTATCTTCCATTTGATAGCATAAATTTCTCTCTGTCTGTGTAAAAAGTACTTGCCAGTTGTCAACCACTTAGGAGCAATTATGTTTCAATTTTGTATGTCATGACATTGAATAGATGTAACTGCTAGCATTTTCCCAGCTAAGTGTGGTGAATTCCTGAGGAACATTGTCAAAACAAAACACTTACAGAGTTATTTCTGTGGTTTTTTTTCTACTTTTCCCAACAATTCTGGACTTCAGAAAGTTCAGTTTTTCAGATATACAAGTGTTTTAAAAATCAGTGCTTTCTGCCTTCTGTGACAGTTCTGTGGCAGGAGTTAGTAAAAGCATTGTTGTAACCTGGTGGGCTGTACTTCTGCTGCAGCTGTGATTGCTTCTCTGATGAACACAAAGAAAGGTTTTTTCCTGTATGGACAGATGTTATAAATTCATGTGTCAGCCCAAGAGGTCAGTTTATTTTGGTGCATAGACCACAAGAAGATACTTAGACATGCCACTGTAGGCATGTGTTGGATGAGACCCTTCAAGGCCCTGACAGTGCTCTCTGTGTCTCCTACATTCCTATGCAGCATTTATCTCCCATAAGCATAATGGTTTTCCTTCAGCAATTTTACATTTAGGAAATTATTCTCCCATCAACTCTGGTATGTAATTCCTATTAGCTTTGAAGTGGATTATGCATAAATACCAGAGAGAGAGAAATGTGGACTGACACACCCTTCAAACCCCTACCCCCAAATGAAAAACATACATATCAGTCACAATAATTTTCATCCAAGAGCCAGGCAGGAGTTTTAAGTTAATGTCAAGCAGGTTAAGATAAAGATATCTAAAAGTGGTTTTTTTTGTAGCAGGTGTTAATGTAATCTCTTGTTTGCAAGCTTGAAGACTGAGATCCTTGTTAATTGGACCATGGTGATTTCATGTAGCTCCCTCCTAGATTTTGAGAAAGAAGTCCTTAGCAAGCGTAGCACTTGTTTCAACTTAATTTGTGATCCAGTAGCTAATAAGTGATTTTTAAATATAAAGGTCATGAAATGCTGAGTTAAGGTTCTGCTTGATTTGAGGGGAGCTATTTTTTCCTTTTGGAAAAATGTAATTTCTTCATTTTCCAGTAACTGATATGTGAAGTGTATTTATGTATATGCCCATATTAGTGCTGTCTGGAATAATATACAATTATACACATGACTCTACAAAGTTCTTAGCACCGTTGGAAAACAAGAGGTGTAGAAGGCATTGGAGGATGTGAAAATTATGAGGCTATTTGTGAAAACTGTACCCATTGTTTCTTTGAAGCTGTACATCAGTTACTTTAATATTTGGAAGAATTCTATGTAGTACAAAAGTGCTATGGGCCCAGTTCTGTACACCTAGAACATTGTAAATACCAGGGTATGGTAAGAAAATATGTGATTATTCCACTGTTGTGTCATATCTTCATGTACCTTTGCTGACGCATGTGCACTAAGTTAAGGTCATCACTGCTTTTAATGGTTCAGTTTAGGAAAGAGCAAAGTATAGAAACCTTTAATATGGAGCCAAACTTCCTCTCACTCTGGGCATCTCAGTTCACAACACTTCTGGGGCCCCTTTCCTTCAGGACATGCGACTGCTCACAAAAAATGGTGTTTCCAGTGAGTTTGCTCATTGGTATTAGTTCTTTACTGGGGAATACTGGAGGGAAAAGGAGAGGCTAGATGTCAGCATTTCTTAAGCAACAAATGCTATGCAGATTTTTGGTGTTAATTCACATAGTCCTGGGACGGTTACAGTAGGGAGAGAGACTAACTGCCTCCTGTGCTTGTTCCTGTCCCCCTTGGTCATAGCCTGAGCACTTTGTTCCCTTATTCAGGCCTTAGGACAGACTTGCACATGCCTCCTTACTGCTTAGGCTGGTTTATCACTGGTGAGGAGTGCAAGAGTTTCCCCTCTCTGTGTTAGACCAAGTCTAGCCAGATGGGCAGCAAGAAGAAAGAAGCTAATATAGCTGTGTCTGCAGCCCAGGTCTAGTTCACAGGAATTATTAATGTCATCATTGTCAGTTAAAAATCTACAGATGAGGATTTGTTTGTGCTGGAGGGACACTGAGATCTCAGGGTGAGCATACAGGTGTTTGGGATTCAGGAGGAACTTACCCTCAGACTCCTCCTCAGGAGCTTAGGACTGGCCTCGTCTCAATGAACTTGTATCTGTCTAAAATTAAGGTGTCTGGTTTAATATAGTCATTGAGATGCTGTCCAGGGAAAATGAATGATTGATACCAATCTAAGATAAGAGTTTGAGTAGGATAAGCATTTCCAGGGAGAGATTTTTATCTCTCTTTTGAATTTGAGGAGAGCCAAGACAATGAAGTTAGCCTTGACATGTAATTTTTAGGTAAAAAATCCCTTGGCTTTGATAATCCAAGACTCAGCAGCACTTTCTTCTCATACTTTGAGAAACACAAAATCAATAGTTGAGATATCTTAATCACTTGCTTACAGTTTTATTCTGCTCAAGTGACTGTCAGCAAAGGACTTCTTGCTCTGTAGCAGCGATACCTTTTAGGTAGCAGGGTCCGTAATTTGGTTAAAGAATTCTGTTATTTCTGACATCATGGTCTTAAAAACTGCATCCATTTAAGTTGGCTGTGCCTCCCTCTTCAACCTCTCAGATTCCCAGTCTGGAGCTGGAGGCCCTGTTCATAATTCATGGAGGTAGGGGGTTTATTTTTTTCAAAGCAATATGAAGGGGATTTCCAGTGCTACTCCCACATACTGCTTTGAAAAATTACCCTGCTGCAGTCTAGCCCTTCATATCCTGTGCACAAACACAGAGGCACGTTGGGTCCTTCACGGGGTCCCCAGGGAAGGAGCAGGCTGGATCCATCCCCAGAGGAGGGAAACAGGAGATGTTTTGTTTCAGTTGATGCTGGGGCCTGCAGGAGGGCTCTGTGTGGCAGAACAGAGCTCCTCAGCTGGGGTTAGCCAGGAAGGGATCTGTTTAGGAAGGTTTTCAGCTGGGGGGGTAGTTCAGATTGGAATTTTTAGAGAGCAGTGGTCTTTGAAACATTGCACCGATTGGGGCTCCTTTGAAACATTTCCATGCCCACAGAAAGGGGATCCCCCTTTGAAACATTTACAGGCGTTGGGGAGTCCACCTGGGACTATATCAAAAACTTTCAGCAGTTCTTGCTGCCTCTGTACTTGCTTACCTCCTGTTGTGCTGACCTGGCAATGTTTAAAGCTTCTCCCCCTTTTCTCCCCACCGAGCTGTGCCTCTGATGTGCTGTCTCTGTTAGATGAGGGGAGGATGGGCCTGCGGGCCCTGGGCTCTACGGGGGGCACTGAGCAGCCATGGCAGCAGCCACAGCGTGCAAATCTGTCCCTGCAGCCTCTGCCCGCTGCCTGGGGAGCCCTGGAGCTTCAGCCTCCATGGCAGGGCCAAGTCCCCGTGTGGGCAGTGGCTGCTCCCACCCTGCACTGCCAAGGGAAATCCGCTCAGAACCCTTCGTAGGAAAATAAGGATTAGGCCCGGGGGTTTCCTGCTGGGTTTTTATAGTTGTGCTCTTCCCACAGCCAAGCTGGGTTTCCTAACTGATGCTTTTCAGGGGCACATAATTCCACAGATTTGTTCTCTGGGTGGGTCAGGTTGACTGTGTCGAGGGGAAGCGCATTTGATTCCTGCCAGAGTTCTCAGCTCTTTGGGTAAGAGAAGTGGACATGGCAGTACTTCTCTCTGTCTCAGTTCGATGGGGCATGTTTTCCATTTAATGTTCAGAGAAGATGAGCAACTGTCCCAACCCTTCTTTCTCCATTTTCCAAGAAAGTCTCCTGGCAAATGTGCCCAGGAAGCTCAACTGGGGCTCAGTTCGTGCTGGAACAGGGAAAATAATGATTCCTGGTTTGTGCTCTAATGCTGGGACTGCTGTAACATTCCTCCTGCCTCTGGCTCCAAAGGAATGTGAGCATTTGTGGGCTCACGAGGGGCTGTCCCAGTGCTCGGAGCTCAGCAGAGCCCTGCCCCAGTGCCACTCCTGTCCTTCCCTGTGGAATTGCCAGTGCTCCCTGCCACGACCCAGGAATGTGCACTGGTGAGCAGGGGAGGAGGGGCGAGCCTGGATGTGTTTGTGATGTGAACATGAGGCCCTGTCTGAGCTTTGGGAGCCGCCGGGGACAGGGGAATGCTGAAGGGAAAGTTTCCAGAAGTCACAGTGAAATTGTTCCGTGGTCCAGTTCCTGAACTGCAGCCTGGATAAATTCCTCCCTGTTTGATGGGACGGGGTTGACAAAGTTAAACACCGCGTTTGGGAGAGTTTTCTGAGTACTGCCCCAAGCCATGGCATATCATACACTGTGTGTAGCGTAGGACTCCAAGGATCTTAATTACCTTTCCTGCCCTTAGAGATCATGTTTCAAGTTCTGGAAACACTCTGCTGGAATTAAACACAAATGAGAAGGGAAAACATCCATCCACAGTTACATTTCTTTCAAATGCATACAAGTACTTGAAACAAAACAATGGCTAACTATAGGTCTGTTATTTTGTTAACATTTTAAAATAATGTAATATTTTAAAATAAAAAAGTAAGTTGGGTGCTTGGAAAAGGTCAAATTGCAATAGTAACTACAGAAATAATTTTCTAAAAAGCAGCAGTTTAGAAAACTCATTTTATGTTCATAAGAATTAGCAGTTGATACCAAGCTCAGTCACTGAGATGAAACCAGTACAGAGGTGAAGAGGTTGAGATCGTACTCAAAT